ATAGTTTCAAGAAGCAAACTAAGAGATGGGGAATCTTTCTGAATTGTGAGGTGAATTCAAAGAAATTGTGTGGACTTCAGGAAAATAACTCCATCTCTCTGGTTTCCTTTGATTTCTAAGTGTAGGTATATTTTTTCCTTAGCATAGTAATAAATTCTTTTCCCTATTTAGTCCTGTGCTATAGTTGCAATATCTTACAGGAATGTCAGTCATTTTTTCTAAAAATTATCTACATTCATAAACGTAATAGGTTTAATCTCATTGTATTATCTCAAATCTCAGAAAGACCAGGTTTTCATCCTCAGAAAGTTAGTTTCACTTCAATAATAAAAAAAAAAAGTTGAATAAGAAATGTTCTAAACTATAGATAACTCAGACTGGGTAGGTAAAGCAGTCATTCATGTCAATTTTTGTCCTTGCAGGAAGTATCCAGACAATGAACTGTCTTTCTGAGTTGCAGACAACTCCACACAGCCCTGTCTGCTTCTAAGAAATTAAAAATATTTGTAATTATTACAATTTGCAAGTAAGAATCTGAGAGCACTTTGTAAAACAGACATAAACATAGATCTTCAGAATTATTATTTTTCTATTATAAAGCTTGTGGGTTTTGAAGGAGTTACATTTTTTTGATGTTCACATTAATGACATTTTGATTCATGATTTGGAATAAAATTTTCTTCATTAACTGTATTAAATTCTAGTCTGGCCTCTTCAAATAAAGAAAATTTGCATAGAAAAAAGGTATGTATCATGTGACCATAAACATCTAAAGCTATAGCAGCAGCTTAGAAAGAGGAATATTAAAGTAGGTGGCTGATGTAAAAATATTATCTTCTGGCTAGTTTCCAGCTGAGTGACTGATTGTGGTGATTCTCAGTTTCATTACCACAAGACAAATTATTCAATATCTTTTAAATGTACATCCAATCTGATAGACATGGAATGTGAATTTAGGCACTTTCTGTTTGTGCAGGATCAATATGTTTGCAGCTGAATGGTATCTCTGAAGTTAGATATTAATTTTTAAAACAGCTTCAGAATCGGTTTCTTCACTTACGATATTTTTTTGACTTTAGTTTATTTCTAGTGAAAATGAAGTTTGACATATAGTTGTTTTTCAACCATTCATAAGTGGTGGTTCAGAAATCAAACTTAGGATGGGCTGTAAACTTGATTTATGATCCAACATCTTTTCGTTGAAAGAATCTGACCTGTCAAATCCCATTTTTTTGAGAGGAATATACCCATTTTGGTTAACTTTGTCTGGGATAAGGTTCTTGATTCTTAAGTGAGAAAGAACAAAAAAAAAAGGGACAAAAGAAAAAAAAAAGGAAGTGACAGGGAAAAAGAGAAAGAAAGAAAAAAGGTGTCTGTGGGGGGGGAAGAGGGGGAGGTATGAGGAGAAGGGGAGAAGGGAGAAGTACATCCATACACCAATAGATAATAATATTCAAGAACTAAGACTCTTGCCGAGAGACTTGAGAATTCCCTCATGTAAGAAAAGGAATCTGAACATTCTGTTCCTCCTGTATGACAACCATGTTGATAACTACTACCTGGTGGGAAGAGGACCCTCTTTATTTTTTTAAAAACATTCAAAAGAATTCTGGTTCTTTGCATAAAGTACACAGTAGGAAGTGCTTTGAAATCATGGATATTTTTATAGGACATGAAAATTATTGCATTCCTACATCTATTCATAAAAAACAAAAAAATACTTATTTAACTTAAGAGCCCAGCTGCAGTTGTGAGTTTTGTAATTTTTGTTTGATTCTTGATATTTAGTAAAAGTTTAGCAAGAATTGATTAAATTCTGGTTTTACTGTTCAATTTAACACATAACTGTGCCTCATTATATCTACCTGAAAATTGTATTAATTTTGAACAGCCTTTGAATTTTCCTTGCCTGCATTCTCTCATTCACAGTATTTCCCTACAGCCTAAAACTCTGGACTGCAGAATACTCAGGGATGCTTTGATTTTTCCAGATGGTTGAATACGATGTCCCTGGGAGATGGGATTGCTTGTAGTATAGACATACCCACAACAGTATTAAGTTGGTAGGCATCAGTAAGGAATGCAACACTGATATACTGATATTTGCCCCAATGTATAGAGCTTAGAGTTGCACTGTCTTATTAAGAATTATTTTTTTCTGGCAACAAATATTGGTAACTATCACATTAAGATAAGTATAGACCACAGTTAACCTCTGGTGTACCTTTGTTTTAATGTTGATTTGATTTTTATGTACTTCTGGGTGATGGGTCAGAGTGCACTCTCAACAAAATGGGAGCAATGGGTGACAAAGTGGAGAGCAGGGCTGCTGTTTAGGGAGACCTTGACAAGTTGGAGAAAGTCATGGAGTCCAACAGAGATAGATGCAATGTCTTGCTGTATGAGTGGAATAACCCTGTGCAGCAGTGCAGAACTGGGGACTGAGTGAGCAGGAAAAATCTTTGCAGGAAATGTAGTAGCAGCAGCCCAGGTGGACATTAAGTTGAGCATGAGTTGCCAAAGGCCAACTGCACAGCTCTTGGCAAGAGTTTAGCTAGCAGGATTGGGAAGGTGATCCTTCGCATCTGTTTAGCACCTGTGAGGGCACATCTGGAATGCTGTGTCAAATTTGGGGCTCCACAGTGTACAAAAAGGCATGGACATACTGAATTGAGTCTAGTGCAGGGCTACAAGGTGGTTGGGAGCTGGATCACCTGAAGTGGCGAAATCTCCATCCTCAGAGATGTTCAAAATATAACTGGATGAGGTCCTGACAACCTGCTTTATTGGACCTGCTTTGAACAGGAGGTTGGACCACTTGGCCTCCAGAGGATCTTTCCAGCCTACACTCTCCTGTGATTCTGATACATCAGTTATATGTCTAATTTATTATTTTCAATAACATTTTCTCTGTTAAATTATCTGTCGAATCTCACAAGTTATGTGAAAATTAAATTGGGCACAAATTTTATAATAATATTGTTGAAGGATGATTTATCTGCATATATTAACAACTTGTGTCTATTCATTTAGAAGTAGGAAGCCTCACAGAAACTTGTGGTACAGGACCACAGAAATAATGTTGATCTTTGCTTAAACTGAGAAAAATGCTGTTTTCTAATCTACTTATTTGTTACATTCAGATTAATGCCACCAGTTACTGTATCTTTACTTAGAATGAGAGAACTTTGTTTGCTTGAAGAGTTTCAAAACAGATTTAGAACAACAGTGACTCAGAAGACATTATCTGATGAATGGTAATTGAGCTGAGAATGACAGAACTGAAAAACTAAATTTAAATTCATAGTGGATGATGTTTAAAAAATGGCAACATGCTGATAAATTATGAGCCTTTACAGAGAAGTTAAGAAATGGGAATGAGTAATTTTGCAGTTCAAGAAAAAATATATTTTGAATCCTTTTTCCTTCCACCTACTTTAGCCTCCAAGAAAAAAAAAAAAAAAAAAAAAAAAAAAAAAGAGAGAGACAAAGAGAGCTTTCGCATTCAAATCTGTGAATCTGTGTAAAGCAAAGTAACAACCCAGAGATGTTGATGAAAAGTCATTCACAGCTGTGTCTCTCTCTGGACTCTGTAGTGCAGAATGATTTCCTGTAGAGAGTGGAAGCTGTTGCTGGAAAAATGAACTGAAAGAGGGTCTGTGGACCAAATCCAGTTCTTTTCTCATCCTTGAAGAAATATTTTGATTCAGTCATAGTCTGATAGGTCAACATAACAGGCACCAATTGGGTCAGTTTATGCTCTGTTCAGGTGAAGAAAAACCTCTGTAAAGCAGAAATGTATGAGTTGATAATAGATCCATTCTGTAATTGCTGCAAAGCTGAAAGTAATACTATAGATCTTAAAGGTCATTGATAATTTCATCAAAGAACAGAGAAAACATAGTAAAGAGAATGAAACTAAACCTCTCCTGCAATTCAGCTGACAGGAGATGAGTGTGTTTAGTAGATTAAACCCATACACATGTGGATGTGTGTGTGTCAGTAAGAAAGAGAACAGTGATTTTGACAAGTTTGAGGGAACAAATATTATACAGTTATATCAAAATGTCAAATGTACTTTAAATCTCTGACAGCCCATAATCTGTGCTAAAGACTGAAGTATGAATTAATGTTGAAAAGCAAAATATCAAAATGTTCCAGGTGACTACAGAAGTTGGAGCTTTCCTGTGAACATTTACTATCAATTTTAAAGAAAAAAAATAAATGAATGTTCTTCTTTTTCATATAGCATGCACACACCTGTCAGAGATCAGTAAAGAGTATACTTGCTAGCAACAACAAAAGTAGTAATAATCAATGTCAATTCTATGAATTAAGTGTACAGATGATGAATCTAGTAGAATAGCTGCACCGTTTGGCTGCATGGTTTGAACATGTTTCAGCAATCTGCAGAAGGTTTTTCACTACTACAGAACTCTTCTATTCCACAATTTGCATACTATTTCAGGGTCAATCAAAAGGGAGAAGGGAAGTCATCTTATTAGGAGTCTTGACATTATTTCACTGTATCCATTCCTTGGAATTTGAAGTACTGCACTTTCAAAAGTTTCAGTGATGATAATATCTTTTAAAATAAAATTTTCATCAAATATTGTGAATTGTTTTCCAGTAACTTAGTTTACATTATTTATCTGTTAATTACTATATTTGCTAGAAAGGTAATTAAATAGTATAACAAACTATGACTTGCTGGATAATATTTATGAAAATACAAAGTTGTAACATGTCAGTGCATGGTTTCTGTGAGGGTTTAGAGATTACTTTTTTTAACACAAGTGCCTTCAATACCTTAGTATGTGAAAAATTCTAAATTTTGGTGCTACATTTACTGAGAAAAAAACATGTATAGCTACAGAAGGCATGAACATTATTTAAACAAAAACTGAAGCATTCCTGAAACAACAGGTATAAAATCAAATGTTATTCTACCCAATAATAATAATCAGAAACCTATATATGTGAATTTCTTTCTTTTCTAGCACCACTAACAGATAAACCACCAAAGCTCTTACACCCCTTGGAGAGTAAGCTAACAATTCAGGAGACCCAGTTAGGTAAGTAGCAAACACATGATTTCTCTTAAAATTGTATGAAGGTATTTGATGTGTTAATGTATGATGGTAATGTGATGAGATGTTGGCATTATTAATTTCATTGAAAATGCATTAAACATACCCTATTTCCATGCAGAGATTTATCATCTATCATCTAGAAGATTGTTGTTCACAAAAAAAAATGGTAGTAATTACTACTGAATACTAAACACTTGAATATTGCTGATACTGGTTTTTGCTTTTGCTGAAAGTCTATAGTTATAAGTGTACCTGAGCTTTTCTTTCTATACTTCCCCTTTTCTGTATATTTACATATATTTACTGTGGAATTCTGTGGGCTTTTGTAGTTTAAATTGTGCTTGCAAGACTTCTTTGCTTTAGCGATTACTTACAGAATTGCAAAGATGTTCTGTAATTATAAATGTTGTGCTGATCTAAATCCATCCATCAAACATTGAGAAGTTAACATAATATCATCTGATTATTCTGAATGTACTGATATATATGTAAAGATGAATTAAGAGAAACTAATGCATGAAGAAACCATTTTGCTTCACTTTTTCTAGCCTAGTGGATGGTGGGTATGTTTTGTCACTTTGGTCTCCTACTGCTGTACAGGTAATTAAGGCTCCAAATATAAGTGCATGAGTTACTACAGTTTGCAGGATATAACAACCCATCTCTTTTGTGAATTGACACATAGGACAACTTGTATGAAACAGTCCTCTGTAGCTTACACTGGAATTATGCTTTGGTGTCAGAACAGTAACCTATTGATACATCTTCCAGCATGCTGGCTACAGAAACAAATGGAAACAAATCTGGTTGTCTAAATCTCATAGGAACTAAAAAAAAAAAAAAAAAAAAAAAAGCAATAAAGCAAGTAGGACTCAATATATTCTGCTACACAACACCAGAAAAAAAGCAGAAGGCTTGCAAATTAATTCTGAAAGTCTTTGGCAAAACATTTTATGGTGCTTGCCAGCTTATGGCTAATAGTGGCCAGAGAATAATTCATCTTTATTTTGATATTCATAAAATATTACTTAAAATTATTCATGCTTTTCAGGTAATATTCTGAGATGCTGATATATTTGTTTTCAGAAACAATTATGTAGAAAAGGGGAGATGTAACATATTTCCTTCTCAAGCTAGTTTCTGTTGTTCTGAAGGTATTGTTTGTGATATACCAAGTCAGAAAACTTTTCATATATGAGAATCCTAGATGATTTTACCTTTTCATTTGAACACAAGCCTAGGGAACAGAAAGCAAAGTGACTCCACACATTTTTTTCCTAACATATGTTGCTTACTGAGATATTTTTGAAGAAAAAAACAGAAGGCAGAACCTTTGGGGCTTTGATAATGTCTTACTAAAAATACTGTATGGGTGAGTCTATTTCAATAAGACTGTGATTATTAATGTCTAGCTAGAGGTTTTTTATGTATGATTTTTATAATTAATCATATCTTTGATTTCTCAAAGTTCTAAGAAACAGATTCAATAATTTGAGAAGTGCTGGATTTGGAAAAGACACTTTTCAGAAAACTAAATAGCTATTGATGAATATGAAAGAGTTAATTTGAAAACATAACTTTCCGATACAAATGAGAAAGTCTAACTGGAAATGGATGTGAAGCTGCAATACTTAGCCTTATATAAAGAAGCCACAAGAATATGTTCATTTATTGTTTAAAAGTCCGTGAAAAAGCCTGTGAGAACTGGAGCAAGTTCAAAAAAGTGATAGTTCCCTGACATGAAAATTATGTTGTTCCACTCTTAGTTTTTATGTCTTGATCCTGCTGGATAATGTTTGAAAAGTCTATTTTTCACTTTCACTGAGGAAAGCTAGTGTTCATTTCGGTGGACTAGTTCATAGCCTGCAAAAAATGCAAAATATTTTAACATTAGAATAACAAAAGATTCACTTAATCAGACCTTGGATAGTTACCTAAGCCAGCAGCCTCCTATCCACATGAGGCTTGGGATGACCACATGTTGCAGACGGGTCTAGACACTGACAGAAAACATGTTAGTCCTCCAGAATGTGTTTGAGATGGTGTGTTTGTCCCTTATTTGGAAAATAATCATGCTGATGGAAAGGGGAGAAGTGGAATGGGTGGCAGAAAAAAGAGAGAGCAAGGAACTAGGAGCCTGAGGTAGTCCAGGATTTTGTAAGCAGGTCACCAGTCAGCGTAGTGGGGATCTGTGGCAATCCCTGGTCTCCCTCCACATTCCTGTGCTTCTCACCTCACAGTCCTTCACACTGAGTTGGAAATTAAGCAGGTTCCAAGTGTCAGGGCATGGTCTGGGGGGGTGCATATATAATTTACAGGGAGATGTGTGCTTCTGCAGGTGCACATGGTGTGCCGAAATGTCAGTAGTGATGGGTCACCTCAGAATCTTCCCCTGCTGGCAGGCCGCTGAGGAGTGGTTCTGGGCACACTTTTGAGGAAGCCCTCAATAACCCCAGTGTGTTTGCTGCTGAAGGACCTACTGGAGTTCAGTTAAACAGGGCACCTCCACGCGGTGTCTAAATCAAGGTGGGGAGACTTTAGGCATATCTCATTCATTTGGCTCCAGCACTGCTGAGTGACAGAGACATCTGACATTTATTGCTGATATATATATTTTGGTCTTTTCTACACACCCACAATTAAAATTAATGTCATGGGACCACAGGCGAGTTGTGTTACTGTGTTGCAGGGCTTCCATAAAACAGCATCAGACCAAAAAGTGACTGTACATTAAGGAAGGTTCTTTAAGGGGTGACTGATAGAGTGTTATGGCATAAGCTCACAACAGCGGTTTGATTTGTTAAGACAAAAGGAAAGAAACCACAGATGGAGAATCTGAACACCTCAATCCTGTGAACCTACAGGCTCCCATCACGTTCAAGCTATCTGCAGTCAGTTGTGGGAAAGGTGTCCCGCAATTCATCTGATGTTTGGCAGAGTGTTAAGCATGGCTGCACTGCAATGAGCAACCTTAGAGAGCCACAGGAATCTTGAGACCTCATCTGAAATATCTTTTTATTATCCTGAATAGTAACCAGAAAAACACAAGATAGAAGCACAGGATAGAAATTGAAGGTAGAAATTATTTTTTCAAAGGCTTTTCCTAAAAGACAGATGAGACAGCCAAAGCATAAAGCAGAGAAATCCTAGATGAGGAAAGAAAGAGTAGTTCCCAACTTACCCTGTTCCGCATTTAATGTTTATTGTTGGTGACTTCACTTCCAATTTTGTAATCAATAACTTAATCCTGTTGCAAGGGTAAATATACTGGGGGATTTTTTAAGTGTTTCTCCTGTTAAAAGGGTTCGTAGGTAGCTGTGGTGACCTCAGTATAAACTGGTTCTCTGGAAAAAACGACTCCAGATTAAATATTCTGTCGAATAGAGTCTTCAAAAGTATGCAGCCTACAAGAAGCTTGGAGTTTTAAGGAGATGAGTGTTTTCCACTCAGCTTTGAGCCATGCTGGTCTGGCAGCAGCATATGCCAGGGAGAGGAGAAAAGCAGGCAATGAAAGGGAGGCAAGACACAGTTAATGAAGAACAAGAATAATGACCCAAGGAACAGCATCCCGCAATATTCTTCCTATTATCTTCAACACATAAACAAAATTAAATGAACAAATCCCTGCTAACATAAAACTCCATTGTAATAATAAAAATGCAAAACTTTCCATTCAGACCTGTTCAGAAAGGAGTTAACATTGTTTCTTACATACAAAAAATCCTAAAACATCAGATAACTGTGTTTTTAATTCTAGATTCATGTAGATGTTATATATCTATGATAGAATTATATCATGTCTATGATATGTATATTTGTATAAAAAATATGTTCTGTTTTTCTATATTGGTAAATTCTGAGTGTTTTCAATTTCACCTGTCTTTCAGGTGACATTATTTTTCCCACCAAAACTGTCAAATATCTGTCCTCCTCAAGGGAATAGGAAGAATACTTTTAATCTGACTCGATAAAATTTATTTTACTGTGCAGTTGGTACATCTTCATGTTACTAAAGAAGACAGGTGTGTCTTTGCAACAGGCACTAATGGATCTGAATTTAAAAAATGCAAAACATGCAATAATTATTTTAAACACCTCACAAGCTAGTTAGCCTGTCCCCTCCCCATTTTCCAATGTGTTTCCTGGTTCTGCACAAGGTTGTAATTTGAAATGCCAAAATTCACCTAGAAAAATAAAGTAATTGTTGAATTATTTTTAGCTAGTCTTGATGTTAGAGAAGAGAAAAAAGGAATAAAGAATTTCCAACACAATATGAATGGACCTACAAGATGTTTGGATGAGCACCTAAACACTTTATCTGTCATCTAAATGAAATGAGATTTCTTGAATTTTATCCAACTCTTGAAATTGCTCGTGTGACCACATATGCAGTGAATATTTTTTCTATTTGTTCTTAGAGTATTATTTCAATAAAATTAAATTGACTATTACCTAGTGAATTGGGGGTTGCTTCTTTCTCCCCCTTCCCCACACATATTAAAAAAAATAAAGTCACTAAAACTACTTTAAATGTATTATTTCTAAAGTAAGAATACAAGGAAGTCCCAGAGGTAAATTATCAGAGACAGGAGAATGCTACTTTATTTATAGCACTGTGTTGTCATAAAAATCTTCCACACAAATTGGCCTTGTTAATGATAAAAGACATCCTTAACTAGCTTAATCAGTACCCATATAAATAAATAACTAAAATGATATGAAATAGCTAGCAATCTCTGCCTCCTTTCAGGTTGAAAATTAAAATGAAAAAATATCGAAAATTGTAATTTTTTTTATCTCTACACATTTTATTTAAATGCTATATTCACTCTCTAACAGGAACAGAATATTTTTCGTTATGGTATAGGGATTTTTAAGTTTATCTGTTTGATTACACCAACATTCTTTAAAACAAATTGATCTTTTTTTCAATCGTGATTCACTTGGACACTTTGGTTCTTTGATACATTCTATGATTAGTT